TATAACCAGAAATGAAACTAGAATCCCCCACACATCACAAGACATGTGATTTTGTAGCTTGTACCTTTTAACAAAATTTAAACTACATTTTCATGCCACTAAGATGGCAGGAGAGGAGGGGGAATGCTCCATCACCTTCTCTCACTTGGTGTGGCTCTACTTTGCAAAAGAAAATCATCTGAGAATGCTCATTGAGTTCCTAAAAATGTTCACTATTTTTTGCCTGAATTTATGCAGTCTTGCTTTAACTAAAAGGACATATCTATTTATAAGTTGTTGATGATTTTAATAGTTTGTATTCCAACATCCTCAGTAACCTGGAGGATTAGACCTATGTTTGCTTTTAGTAGCCCAGAAATCTTCACACCATCTTGTTCCTCTTCACACTCACTGAACTTCCAAAGCAGCATTTCCACATTGCAGCCACTCTGTCCCACCACCCCTGAGCCCCTTTCTCATTCATGCTTCTGATAGCAACTGAAATACAGACGGCACCAGGTTCTTCTGTTTTCTGGGCTAATGGTTAAATGTAGATACAGACTTGCAAAGTAAAACATGAACCAGATGATTTTCACAACATTCAAACTTTTCAATTTCTTGGTTCTTACACTAAAAGTGGTACCCAATGTTATTTTGTTAAATACTCATAAAGCTAGATCTGGGAAGGATGTGAGCATGTCTTAGGAAACTCAAGCTCAACTCAGCAAAGAGCAAGTCTTTTGACGCAGCGATTGTCTCCATGCCCGTGTCAAGATTCACACCAACTCCAGCTTCCCCACTGGGACACGATACACCTGTGTTTGGCCTTTGCCCCCCGCCACCCTCAGGGAGAGGTTGCTAACAGCACCATGACTGGATGATTACATGCTGAGGAGAATTAATCGTACTGGTGATTCATGCTATGCAATCTTTTCTTTTTCCCTAGAGCTCCTTACTTGAAGAGATGGGCTGTGGTTCAAGTATTTTGAAGTTTGGTGGCTAATGTCATATTTGTCATTTCTCTGCACTTTAGTTTTTCATAATGAAATTCTGGGTCTTTTTTATACTTTTCTTTTTTTGCTTCTTATGCATCCAGTTTACTTGCCTCTTTCCAGTTCCTACTGAACACACTATCAACTAGACTTTCTCCTGGCAGGTTTACACTTGTTAAGGCATACTAGAAGAAATGGAAAATTCCATCCTTGATTTAGTTAACACATAGGAAAATATTACTATCATATACAGTTAACATTGACTTTTACCATATACATACTTCCTTCACTTTTAATTCTGTAAACACATAGCTCTGAGTCACAATATCCCAAGCCAGACTCATTTACAGAAAGCATAATGAAGATTGGTGATTTGTAGGGAACTGGCACTTAGACGTTGGTTTAGAAAAATAATCTTTGAAAACAGATGTCTTGACTAATTTTATATAAAAAGTTGTCAGTTCAGATGAAACTTGGTAGTGAAGTGTTGGAAGTGATTGGTTCACTACAGTTTCGAGTGTGTACATTTTATTTTTTAAGCTCTGTTTGAATTTCTTGTTAAACTGCATGACCTACACCTAACTGTACATACACTGGAATTAATCCATAGTCATGATTCTCAGAAGAGTTAAGTTTCCACTCTCAACTGGGAGCATTTGTAAAAGTGGACTGGACGGCAGCACTTCCTACTCACACCAAGTTGATACTCACAAAGCTTTTAAGAAGAAAACTTCAGAGGGATGGCACTCAGCCAGCGTTTAGATGACGACATCCCACACTGACGTGCCTACATTTGACACCTGATTCCACCTGTCTCTATCTTCTTGCTCATGTGTACCCTGGGACGAGACGAGGTGGATAATGACTCAAGGAGCTGGGTGACTGCCACCCATCTGGGAGACTGGTCTGAGTTCTAGCTCCCTGCTTTTGCCTGACCTAGCCAGAACCATGGCAACCATCTGTGAAGTGAACCAACAGATGGGAGCTGAAGAACTAAAACATTAAGAACTACTTTTCAGTTCACTCTGCCTTCCCACCAGGACACTCCTTATGTAATATAAACCATCTCAGAAACCATGACTTCATCAGGATGAGTTTTGGCCCTACCCTCTCCAACCTCCAACTCACTATGGTGACAAAATAAACACAGGGCAACACTGGTCAGTGGCTAATGTTAGGGGGAAAGGCCCAACACACCAAGCCTGGCTGTGCACTCTCTCAAATGCTTTCTTCTCCCTTTGGCCATGAATGGACAGGGCTCAGGCTCAGAGATCTGTTTTGCTTACAGCAACAAACCTGAATGTACAATCCTTCAGCATGGATGGCATCTAGGCTATTCTGCGCCTTGGCACAAGTACATGTATTTCAACGTCAGGGGCACTGTCGTTCAAAATCAGCAGCACCTGAAGTGTCTACATGCTGCTAGTTACTGGTTGACTCTAGAGACAAGAATAAAAGGAAAGCAAAATGACTTAAGTCCTCTAGGAAATAAAAGCATGCATGTGTGATTTAATCTGAACATCTGATAATAAGTATGGGTTAACTAGACTGGGTACCTGATCATTTACCTTTATTTCACAAACATATGTTGACTCTACCAGGAGATTGAGGTGGCAGAATCCTGCTGTATTCCAAGCTTTGTGCTAAGTATTGGAAACATAAGGAGTATGACTACATTCTTTGCCTTCATGCAGAGCATTTCTCAGGAACACGATTCCTAGGGAAATACATTTTGGTTCCCAATCATCAGATTTCAGCAGAAATTCATCTTACTTCAAATAATAAGTTTTAAAAAAAATAAAAAAGTGTTCAAGGATTATGAGCCCTCTCAATAACACAGGGAGGGAGTGAGTAGGGACAAACAGCAAATAGAAAAAAAAAGAAATTAACCAGATAATGTCTAATATGAACAGAATGCAAACTTTTTTTTTTAAGAAGCACGCTCGTGATGTCCAGTGCTCTGCTTTCTTTCTTTCATTTATTTATTTATTTTTATTACACAGTCAGATATACAGAGAGGAAGAGAGACAGAGAAGAAGATCTTCCATCCAATGATTCATTCCCCAAGTGACTGCAATGGCCAGTGCTGTGCTCATCTGAAGCCGGGAACCAGGAACTTCTTCTGGGTCTCCCATGCGGGTACAGGGTCTCAAGGCTTTGGGCCGTCCTCAATTGCTTTCCCAGGCCACAAGCAGGGAGCAGGATCGGAAGCGGAGCTGCCAGGATTAGAACCAGCGCCCATATGTGATCCTGGCAGGTTCAAGGCGAGGACTTTAGCCACTAGGCCACGCCGCCAGGCCCAGAATGCAAACTGTTAACAGAGAATAACTAACGCCAGGGTCAGTATAGTGGCTCAACTGCTCTTCCTCAACCTCCAGGTGCTACATTCCATATGGACTCTAGTTCATGTCCTGGCTGCTCCACTTCTGATCCAGCTCCCTACCCATGGCCTGGGAAAGCAGTGAAGGGTAGCCCAAAGCCATGGGAACCTGCACCTCTGTGGAAGACCTGGAGGAAGCTCCTGGCTCCTGGATTCAGACAGGCTCAGCTCTAGCCATTGTGCCCATCTGGGGAGTGAACCAATGGATGGAAGATCTCTCTGTCCTTCTCTCTGGAAAACTGCCTTTCCAATAAAAATAAAAATAAATCTGTATATCTGACTTTGCAAAAAGAGGAGGAGAAAAACAGAGGAAGATCTTCCATCTGATGATTTACTCCCCAAGTGACCACAATGGCCAGAGCTGTGCTGATCTGAAGTCAGGAGCCTAGCGTTTCATCCATGAATTGCACGTGGTGCAGGAACCCAAGGACCATCCTCAACTGCTTTCCCAAGTCACAAGCAGGGAGCTGGAAGGGAAGCGGGGCTGCTGGGATTAGAACCGGCGCCCATATGGGATCCCGGTGCATTCAGGCAAAGACTTTAGCCACTAGATCATTGTGCCAGGACCAAAATAAATAAATCTTTAAAAAAGGAGAACTAATGCTATGTATAAGAGCATGGGGAAGGGAGTTTAATGTCCTCCAGTAAGTACTGTGATTTTTTTTTTTACATATTATAATGAGTAATTTTTTTACTCTTTTCTGTAAATTCAAAAATCAAGGCCAGAACTTAAACGAAAGCACAGCTCTTGATATTACATGCCATCCAATTTATGCTCTGATAGGAATACTACACATTAGTAAAATAAGCTCACTTTTACTATCTTTTTATTATTTATAATAGGGAAGGATTATTGGTAACCACAAAGAAAAGAGTTAAGGGTGGCAAGCATGGAATGGACACATTACTTGTGAAGTAAGCTTATCACATAGGTAATTTGTCTAGCTGTGCTTTCTCTGCAGGTCAATGGTCAAATGATAGATCTAAAATATACAGTATAGATTGAGAAACCCGTAAGCTTACATTCTGGGAACCAGAGTATGTCAGATGTCAAGTTTGGCTTGTAGAATAACTGTACATACAACTATATACATAAGTATCTATATATATCTCATACACATGGCCTGAATATAATTTTATATACAGTTTAAATAGTTTTGTGCATGAAACAATGCTTTCATTGGTGGTGGCATTGTGGCAAATCCTCCAAACTTTCAGATTCTGGGACATTTTAGTTTTCAGATTTTCCAATTAGGGATATTCAGCATGAATTATATTCCCCAAGGCCCCAAAGCCTACCCAGAATCAATTCTTAAAAACAGTAGAGGGCAAATAACAAATGAACTAAATGGTAATAGTTTTAAACAGAATTCATTTGGGCCCTGGCATGATGGCTTAATGGCTAAATTCTCCCCTTGCAAGTTCCAGGATTCCATATGGGCACTGGTTTGTGTCCTGACTGTTCTAATTCCCATCTAGCTCCCTGCTCGCGGCCTAGGAAAGCAGTAGAGGCCCAAAGCCTTGGGACCCTGCACCCACCTGGGAGACCTGGAGGAGGCTTCTGGCTCCTGACCTCAGATCGGCTTAGCTTTGGCCACTGTGGCTATTTAGGGCACTGAACCAGTGGATGGAGGCTCTTTCTTAGTCTCTCTTCTCTCTATAAATCTTATCTGCCTTCCCAATAATAATAATAAACCTTAAAAGAAATTCATTTGCTGGATGTAGATGGCACAAAAGGGATTTTTACCAACTTGGTTTAAAAATATACATAGTATAAATGTCCAGGAGAAAGCACAAAGACTAATGAGAATTAACCAAGGGAGCAGAAGAGTAAAATCTGCAGTGATGCTAGCTAGCAAGGGAGGTGGCGTCTCTAAGGCTGACTAAGGAAGATGGTAATGACCTTCATTCACCTTTCCAGCTCTGTCACCTGTTCTAGGAGAAACCTCAAGTGCTCTTAGGTCAATAGGGGAAGGGACATGCTTAGAATCCCTTGACAATCTCTAGGGGATGTCAGTGTACTGCACACAGCATTAGAAACCACTTGCAGAGGGAAAGACAACGAGTTAGAGAGCCCTATTACCACTGCAGAGACTAAACCTGCATTTAAGGAGGACCCGTGGCAGTCTTCTATCCCAAATACATCCATTGGAGGAGTCCCATTCAAAGCACCTGGCACAGGTAGTTATTTTAAACAGTTGATTTTTTGCAGCAATAGGAAATTTTACTACTTGAGTCCATTCCTGTTTAGAACAACTTTTATTAGAAAGTTCTTGTATTGAAGCAACCATTTGTCACTTGTAAAGTTCCTCTTCATTCTTGCTGTTGCTCTGTGAAGCTACAGCGGGTCTCATCCCTCTTCCCTTATATAGTTGAGCAGGAATTCGGAGGCAGCTCAGAACATTCTCTCTCTGCCCTCTCTTCCCAGTAGGTTCTTCAAGGAACCTGTCCCCTGGTGTCTTATACAAGCAGACTCATTACAAACCAGTCACCTGGCTGTGGACACAATTTATTAATAGCACTCCTTAAAAATATGGCACCAATAAGGGAATCCAATGCTATAACCACATGTGGACTAACACTGCATGTAGGGCTCCCTGAACAAATACTAACACAGGTTGAATGTATTAGCTTTGTGAATAATCACAATATATTCCTGATGAAAAAAAAAATGAACACTCATTTCCTAGGAAAACTTTCTAAATGAACTGCTGTGAAATCATATCTTACTAACACTCGTGACATAAACACAGATACAAAAACACACATTTGTACACTGTACTTGGTACTTCAGGGTTGCCTTTAAGGAACTTAGAATATACGATGGCCCACTAATGCATACTCAAGCTCATCCTTTTAGTTTCAGTTCTATATTCAAGATATTTCAAAACATTTTATGCTTGCTATTCCTACTTGTCAGTACACTGACTGTTCACTGGAAAAATCAATCTTGCACCTACTGGCCAGAAACTGGAGATTATTGTCAATTTCTGGATCTTCTACAATTCTGATAAAGTATGGTTTCCATCCCTGCTTCATTCATCACGGAAACTACCAAGATGCAAAGCAGCAGCTGAAGTGAGCAGGACCAGACGGAGGAGAAGACTGGATGGTCCGTGGAATCAGGATTTCATGTCCCCAACATTAAAAAAAATGCTTTTCTCCATTTCTACCCTTTTGATTTGTTTCAATACTGATAGTATCAAACTCTGAATCTAGGGGAAAGCTCATTCAAGTTTGGTTTGACACAATTATTTTAATATAGTCTCAGTTTAAGTTTCCTGTTGATTTTGCGTTAAAGAGACAGGCAGCTGTCTACTGGCTCTGAGGTACAGAGATCCCCTAAATGCCCCTGAGGTATAATAAATACAAATCCATGGATTTCAAGAATCAGATGTGGCCTACACCCGGGAATTCAGTGAGACCGAACCTGTCTCCTAAGCTTGTATTTCATGTCCCCTTTTCTCAGAAGGAAGTAAAACAAGCTCGATTTTGCTTTCCCTTCAGCAGCCCCCCCCCCTTTTTTCTTTTTTTGCAAATTCTGGGCCCAGTCAGAGAACAAAAAATTTCCCGACAGGGACCTTTCCCCATTGTGTATTGTGACTCAGGATACCAAATCTTACAAAGATAAACAAAACAACAAAAACCCAAGGCATATGAATCTAAACAATGAAAACCAGGAAGAGCCCTGTGGCCTGGTGTTCACATGGAAAGGAAGCAGATGCCTGCCCAGGTCCCGGGCCCACCTTTGCATGGAGGGAGTGACAGAGATGGACCCCTAGTGAACTCCTCGGGACTGCCTTTCTGCAGAATCTCCGCAGTGACAGGAGAACACGAACGAGGAGCGGTGCCCACACCGATGTGGCAGGTTGGTTTCCTAACAGTCTCAATAAACCACATACCAGTGCTGCATGACGAGCAGGGAGGAGATAAGGAGGCTTGGTTACACAACAGGCTCCCAGAGCCAGGCGGACCACAAGCTTCAGGCGGGCTCAGAGGCAGCGAGCCTCTCGGGTGCAACGACCTCAGGGTCCCCGGCTAAAATGCACATGACTGCCAAGAGCCAAGGCCGACACCCTGCTCCTAGTGTGGACTGGCCACAGCAGTCCTGACTTTAACCTCAGCTATCCAGGAACACTCCCTATCATAACGCTTGGGTCAGGGTCCCTTGCTGTAGGGCTTGGTCATTGAACCCCACACTCCCTGGGATTTTCCATTTCATCTCCTTCAAAGTCTGGCTTCAAACTCCTTTTCTGTTCAATTTCCACCTGCCAAGAAGAGAACATGGAAATGAGTACCAGAAAGAAGAGAAATGCACGCAAACAAGTAAACAGACGGGAAGGAGGCACCTCAGTGGGTTCCTTGAGATTCTTTGTCATTTTGCCAAAGTTCAGGACTTCAGCCACGTTAGAGCTACTGACCCTAACGATATTATGACTCCTCTCTTTGCACACACTCTTCACTCCACCTGGAATTTTCTCTTGACCTGCCTGGAAGGAAGTCTTTTTCTCTGCCTTGCACTGTAGCTCGATGGTCGTGCTTGCTTGTGCAGGGCTTCTTAACGCACGGACTTGACTTGGATGCTTTCCACGGTGACTGTTTCTGCTGCACCTTGGACATGGTCCAGATCGCAGAGGACAGCGGCAGGATCCTGTCCTATTTCATCTAATCAGTTAGGAATACAGCGGGTAATCGACAAACCGCTTTGTAATGATCTAGTCTCACTTCTCAGAAACTTCATCCCTTTCAAAAGCCTCCAAAATGTTTTACTGGAGTATTTACAATTTTATATTTTTTGTAAAATATTGTAGCTATAATTATAAAGGGATTTAATATATTAATCTTGCCTTGAAAATAAGAAACTTCAACTGAATTCAATGCTAAGGGTGTACTTTGAGATCAAGAATTTAACAAAGTTGCTTTTCTCAGCAGCACTAGATGTACTTGGATGTCTAAGATGTTAACACTTCATGATCACGCTGGGGGAAGTGCTATCTTCTTTCTGGCCACAAGGTGGCGGGTTCGCTCTTTCCAGTAGCTCGAATGTTTCAGCCCACATAGCTAAGGAAACATTTACAATAAATTTAAGGAAACTGTCACGAGTAGAAAATTACTATAAAATCTTGTAAATTCCTTTTTCAATAACTCTTTTCAGGATCTGTCATTAAATCGACAACTGAATTTTTAATTCTTCAAGAAAGTATCACTACGTATCTCAGAAACATTAAAAGTGCTTATCCTGTCCGTAGCACTGATGTACATGCTGAGATCTTCAGATGCCACCCGGTCCTACAGCTCAGTTACACGCTTTGGGTTAGCACCTTCCTGACATTTCAATAAGTCATACTGCAAATAAGTGATCACTTTATCTCACTGCTCTTTTTCGTTGTTGTTCCAAGTGACAGAAACATGATATTCTCCTCCTTAACTGGCCTCTTTATCTTTTCTCAACCTTTCCAGTACCCAAGAGATCCACTTACAGCACAGCAGATTCCTCCACAATTCTGCATGAACTTCCCTGAAGGCAGGAAGGGAACGCCTGGCACTGGTTAAAAGCAGCTCAGTGGGGGAGGGGACCAGGTGAACAGAGGTACTTGGGAACATGGCAGACGCCTGGCGAGGCTACCTTGTAGCTGTAGTGCGCCGAATAATTGACCCACTTCCTGACATCAATCTTGTCCTCCACAGAGATGGATCTTACAGCGGCCTTGGAGGCTGAGGTTGTGGGCATGCTGAATTCCACATTCACGTGGTTGGCGAATCTGGAAGGCACCTCCCGGTCAGAGCCGAGTTCCAGGTGGCAGAAGAAGCAGTGTGGGTGACCGGAAGCTACGAGAAAAACAAAGTAATCAGAGGTGAGGTTCTGTGGGGGAAAGACACTGGAATGTGAGGGCAAAAGGAGCCTGCTCTGTAACAATGCTGAGTAGAAGACTGGCCTCCGTGGAAACCATGCTCGGGTTGTTGGCCAGAACACCATCTGAATACAGTCGTCCTGGGATCCTAGCAATGAAACCCACAGCCCGAGAGCCTACTCAGGTCACAGCAGATGCAACACAGCGAGAAACAGGGGCTGCAGGTTGGCAGAACACAACAAAAGGGAGCAGCACTCAGCACCTAGTAAGACGCCAGTGACAGCCACCTGGAGCACAATCATGGCTTTCCTTTGAAAGACGAATTGAGTTCCCGTAATAGCATTTCTTTATTTTCAGAAACACTGTTGGCATGTCTCTGTGGGTGACTGATACGTGTGAGGCACAAAGGCCTCATGCCCAGCCCGTGTTAGAAGCACACAGAGGCCTGGACAGAACACCTGGGTTCACTGCTGGCTCACCCACGGAAGCCACAGAGACCCCACACTCGGGGCTTTTGTTCTTCTCTCATCTCAATTCTTCACATGCAGGTTAGAGTACTGGGGGGAGGGAGGAAATGAGTCGCCTAGAACTCTGTAACAACATCATATAAACTGATTCCCAAAACCTATGGGCAAGCGGGCAGCACTTGGACAGCAAGCTTAGGGTTGCATTTTCATTTGGGTTTTTATGGAAAAGAGTCAGAAGGTAGTTTTGTGACTACAACCACTGAGGCAACAAGGCCGCGTCTGTGAATATTCCTAACAATCATTTGAGGTCACAGCAGTTTGTTATTACTGTTACTGCTTATTATTTCTGTGGAAAAATGAGGAAAGCAAGATTTCAGGAAGCCAAGCGAGCCGCCCCAGGTCATGACCGGTGAGCGCTAGGACTGAGACCTGGAGCCAGGGGTCTGACTCCACACTGCTGTTGACCACAGTGAGCTACGACCTCCTGGGCTCTAAACTACACAGTGGCGGCATGTGCAAGGCTTCCACATGGGTGAGGAAGGAGAGAAGTGCAGGAATCCTCCTATGGATCACAGACATGAAACGGCTTGGACTTCAATATCTGATACACCCCGTTCCTTACTCTAGCTTACCGACATGAAACAATTCTAACCTTCTTTGCTGGTCTGGGTAGGACTTTTTCATTTCAGAGCGTAAGGACATAGATACCAGCTCCCCAAAGAAACGCTGCAAGGTGAAGTATTTTGCTTTCACAAATGTAACATATTAAAATCATTATTTCTACAGTCATCATGTTTGGAAAATAATTGAAAATTTTGTATTGATTCTTAGGGAAGGGATTTAAATGACATATGATAGTAAAAATTACATTATTTGAAAATGAGCCCATTGAGTATTTTTAAGACTGTACAGCACAGATGTAATTAGATAGTTCTCATTTATGGGGCATTTATTACATGCCAGATAATGGGGTAGGCACTTAGAAACATTATCCAATTTCACTCAGAACTGGCTTGATATTAATAACCCAATTTTATAGGTGATAAAAATGAGGTCCCCTGAGAGGGTTAAATAAATTGCCTGAGGTCACACCACTATTAAGAGGTAGAGCTGCGGATAAAATTTAAAAACTGACTCCAAACTATGTCCTCAATCCTTCTCAATACACTGCTATGCAATCAGATCACTCTAAAGCAAACAAGAGTTGAATTCAACAGCAGCCTGAATAAAAATTTTATCAAATGACTCTTACTTGAACATGTTGGAATACTGTGAAACCATTTTAACCACAAAGACACCACCCCTTCTACTTCACTGAATGATATTCATACCAGATTCTGAGATGAATCCCTCACACTCCCGGCATGCACTATGAGTGGCACAGGGCGGGGAGACAATTAGAAACTGCTCAGTTCATGGTCATGAACTACAAAAACCCACTACGGCATCTTTCTTGATGAAGTTGAGAAAATTTAACATTCAGGTTTTTATTTTCCATAAAGGGTTGCTTTCTCCTTACCTAGTCTAATGAGAATGGAATTCCAACCAAGAAATCTACCAATGCAAAGAATGTTTATTTTATTGGTATACGATGACTTGTTCTAGTACCTTCTAAGATTAAGAAAAATTCTTTGAGATGAAGCTGGGAGGCATCCTTAGGAGGGCTCAGTTAGAAGTTGCAAATGAACAGGGCTTGGCAAGGCAGGGCCCTGATGGCCAGAGTCATGTTGGAATTCATAGATAGCCATTTAGTGCCCTGGTGGCCGGGGCTGAGACAAACCCTCTGTGGATGCAAGCTTGTGATAGCAGAAAAACCAGGCAGCTGAGCTGCTGGCCCAGCCTGGCTGCCTGCAGCCTGAAAACCCGCCTTCTGAGGTCTGGGGATGCAGAGCCAAACACAAGAGGGAACGGGTGTGGAAGGGTTCCGGCCTCCCCACCAGCTCAGCCTAGTGACCTCATGTGGGCCCCAGCTACGTGACTTTAATGGAGGTAAGAGAATTATTAAAAATTATCTCTAGAGGGCAGCTTCCCAAGGCTAATAGCTAGACAGAAGAGCTCGTATTACTCCTAATAGCTCATCAGATCTCTGGTTTGGCTGAGTGGAGCACTGGAGAGGAGGGCCAGGAGCTGGGCACAGTGAATACTGGCCATGGACAAGCACCATCATTTGGACTGGGATTCAGAACCTGAACATTTGCAGTCTCCAGAAGGGGCTGTTACCAACCTCCTGCACTGATAATGGAAATATACTGTTGGCCAGAAGGACGAGAAACTCACTTGGCGAGTTTTACCACCAAAAACGTTCTATAACCATAACAGCTAAACACAGCAATGGGGGTGGGGGACTAAGGAAAAACATCTCCAAATCTCCTTAGCTTGTCCTGCACCTCCAAAATCTTCCTCAGGTGAGGCTCTAGTAAGCTGAAAATACACGTGAGTAATACAAAAGCTGCATCGTCTCGGGCTTGAGCCTACAGAACCCTCTCCATTAAGCATTAAGGAAAGTCCCTGCTAAGGCCTTATTTTTTTCTGCTGGTCCTGTGTCCATTCTGCCTTTCTTGTCATCTCTGTCTTTTTCCACCTTGGTGTCAAGTCAGCGAAAATGCACTGACCGCCCATTTCCAAGCCATGGGCCATGACACACAGAACAGGGGTGGGCCGGCTCTGGCAGCTGAACCTCAAGGAGACATGACCACCCATTTCCAAGCCATGGGCCATGACACACAGAACAGGGGTGGGCCGGCTCTGGCAGCTGAACCCCAAGGAGACATGACCGCCCATTTCCAAGCCATGGGCCATGACACACAGAACAGGGGTGGGCCGGCTCTGGCAGCTGAACCCCAAGGAGACACATATCTATTTGTTACTACGTCTGCCCTGAACACTACCTCTCTGACTCCCCCTGCGTTTCCTAAGTCCAAGCGACAGCTCCCCTTTCCTTTGCTTTAAAGTCTCTGATGCTTATAAACAAAGATCTCTCATTTAGTAAGCACGTGAGAGAAATCAGTTGGAACAGATGACCTATGTTTGTACACACCGCAAAAACAGCAGCTCTCTGGTCTCCTGGTGGAAGTTGTTCCAACTCCAGTTTTTTCAGCCGCTGACAGGCAGCTGGGCCACTCAGAGGGCAGCCTTGTGACTGCAGATGTGCCACACATTACCTCCTGGCGCTTCCCTTGAGGGTAAAGAGACTTCACCATGCTATCCCCTCAGGTCCCGTCTAGCTTGAAGATCCAGTAACTCTGCCACAATTCTCTCTCCTTAAGGGCTTTGGGACCAAAGAGAATCCAGGTTCTGCCCTTTCCTCCGTCAACTGACAGGCCTGAGTCAACACGGATAACACAGCATTGTCACCAGGAGAGCCCAGGGCTGATTTCAGGTGAAATGAATAAGCAAGCAGAGAGGAAGACCTTGTCTTAAGACGACCGTCAGTGCAAAGACAAAGGGTGGCAAACGCAGCCTCTGTCCCAGAGGTGCGAGCTCCCTTCAGTCTGCACTACTCTGCCAGCTGTCTGACACAGACGGCCCTGCTCTGTGACTCTCTCTGGACCACTTCGGAAGCTGCCAGGCCCTCTTGCTTCCTCCCATCATGTTCCATTCAAGATGTGATGCCGTGGGCCACTTGGAGCAGGGGAGGGATGCTCTGAATACTGTCAGGATTTATAGGTGAGAAAGGGGGAAAGAAGGCCTGGTCGCTTAAGAGCACAACATTAACAAATCCACTTGTGTTGATAGATTGGCAAAGTTCACATAAAAACAAGAAGAGAAGTTGTCTCAGGTTTTCCAGGCTTGTTGCCTGCAACTCAGGTCACTCATTCTCAGAACCTGGGCTATTATGGTTGGTTTGATGGCCCCTGAGTTTCGTCATTGCAGGAAGTACCACTGGACCCGGGAGCAAAGTCATAGCCTTCTGGGTTCACTCAAATGCAGACGCATCACACGTAACTCTGAGCAGGACAGCGAGACTGGAAGCTTTAGCTGCTTAAACCAAACACTCCTTCCTTTACTTTTTTTTTTTTTTTGACTGGCAGATTTTTAGCCCTTTTGGATCTTTCTTTCCCATCCTAAATGTCAAGATCCAAACTCTGAGTCTGAGATGATTCGACTGACCAGCCTCCACACAGTGCCTGGAGTCAGGATCGAACCCCTCCCATGTGTTGTATTCTTATCTGGACTCAAGCCGGGTGCAGGCAGAAGATGCCACTTCAGAGCCCACCAGCCTTCCAGGATCCAGAAACAGGCTGCCCGAATGCCTCATGCCAGAGCTCATACTCAGTTGGTTTTAATTTGAGAGAGAAAGGTTTCATCCACTGGTTCACTTTCCAATGTCCAAACAACAGCCAGGGCTGGGCCAAGCCAGGAGACAGAAACCCCATCTGAGCCTCCCCACGGGTGGCAGGGATGCACACACTCCAGCCAGCATGTGCTACCTCCCAGGTGGTGCACTAGCAGGAAGCTGGGATTAGGAACAGAGCCAGAAATGCAACCCACACACACTCAGGGTGGGAGGCAGGCTTCCCAAGAGAAACCTTAGCTGCTGCATCAAATGTCCACCCCCACAGCTAATATTCAATGAGTCCCAAAAGAATAAAAATCCAGAGGACACCACGGAAACTTCTTAGTTGCCCAGTGGGAAGAATAACACAGTCTTATGGAAGAAGGGATAATGAAGTGGTGGTGTATGTGTGTGGTGGCATGTGTATGATGGTGGTGGTGGTATGTGTGTGATGATGTGTGTGTGGTGATATGTATGTGTGGTGATATGTGTGTGTGTGTGTGTGGTAGTGTGTGTGTGCGATGGTGGGCTGTGTGTGTGTGATGATGTGTGTGTGTGGTGCTGTGTGTGTGTGTGGTGGTGTGTGTGTGGTGGTGGGTGTGTGGTAGTGTGTGTGTGGTGGTGGTACATGTGCGTGGTGGTGGTGTGTCTGTGCGGTGGTGGGCTGTGTGTGTGTGATGATGTGTGTGTGTGGTGATATGTGTGTGTGTGGTGGTGTGTGTGTGGTGGTGGGCTGTGTGTGTGTGATGATGTGTGTGTGTGGTGGTGTGTGTATGCGGTGGTAGGCTGTGTGTGTGTGATGATGTGTGTGTGTGGTGATATGTATGTGTGGTGATGTGTGTGTGTGGTGATATGTGTGTGTGTGTGGTGGTGTGTGTGTGTGTGGTGGTGTGTGTGTGTGGTGGTGTGTGTGTGTGTGGTGGTGTGTGTGTGTGTGGTGGTGTGTGTGTGTGGTGTGTGTGTGGTGGTGGGTGTGTGGTAGTGTGTGTGTGGTGGTGGTACATGTGCGTGGTGGTGGTGTGTGTGCGGTGGTGGTGGTGTGCGTGTGGTGGTGGTGTGTGATAGTGGTGTATGTGTGGTGGCCGAGTGAACTGAGCTCTGCTTATTTTTCACTTGGCTTAAGTATTTCTACTGTCTCTCACCTCCCCCGTGCCATCACCAGTCCCATCATGTGACAACAGGAGTGTGACGTGGGGCTTGGATCCCAGCCCTTTTGTAATGATGTAAGAGAAAGCAGTTCCTACCTGAGTTTTTGTCTGGCAGCCGGTTAATCCTCCACACGATGGAGTTGAAGGCATGCTCATACTTGGCAGATCCCAGGGTCACCCTCATCACAGGCTCAGAGCCGGAGATGCCAGCTGAGCCAAAACTTGCCCCCCGGTTCACTTTGGCTTTCAAAGACTTTTCCCCCAGGACGCTCTCCCGGCGGAAGTTTTTTACCCACTCGCTGGGCACAGGGTAGCGCACCATCACATTCTCACAGGGGACCTGAGTGAGAGGGTCCCGGTTGGAGGAGAAGCCGGTGGACATCCTCAGCCAGCTCTGCACCTCCACCTCCGCCCCATTGATGCTGGCTGCCGTCCTGAGCGTGAACGGCAAGGTCTTCTCGGCAAACACCGTCCTGAACCGCATCAGCTCAAACCGGCATGCATCCAAGGGGTTGAAGAGAATGACTCGTGAGCTGTTGAAAACATCCTCATCTGCACACCCGTGAAAACGGCACTCGTGGAGCTTGATCCACTTGGTGGTGGTGGTGGGCATGATGTCCTGCCGTGAGACAATTTCATTCCCTTTGATGAGGACGTCGTTGAGGCCCAAGCGGCATTCTGCGAGCCCAGAGAGGAAACTGAGAACGTGGATCCGTGTCAAGATGTGGTGCTGGAGGATCTGGTTGTCGCCTTTGCTCACGATGCCAGAGAATTCATCTCGGACATCCACTGTTATCTCTTCTTCCAGGTAATTCAAACCAACCGTGCTGAGCTCCATGGACATCACTGGCAGTTCCATGAGACGGTCCTGCACCGCACGGATGAAGCTCAGGAAGTCGTCATAATTGGTGGTGCCCAGCTTGATCACTTGTTCTCTTTCTGCTGTATGGGCCACAGCGGGCTTGGGCTGGTATTTCTTCTTCTCCTTGTATGTGACGCGATCTATCCGCAAGCTGTGGATCCTGCCATTTTCATCATAGTTTTGGAGCCGGGGTTCTGAAATCTCATGGTAGATTTCCAGCTTGAACTCACGGAAGGGTTTTTCCAGGCCCTGCTCGTAATAGAGCTGCAGGTAGCCAGCATCCGTCAGTTTGATGTAGATTGGTCCCCAGTGTCGGGAGGACATGATGTTCTTCTTCTCGGGGATTCTCAGCATCATGGGCCACCCGTCCCTGGGCTGGGGCTGGGCCAAGCCAGGCAGGTGAGAATCTAGCTCCATCCAGGCTACAGGGTCATCATCTGGTAATGTTGCGCTGCCCAAGTGATCAGGGTCATCAATTTGGAGCTGCTTGAGCTTTTCAACAGCAACAGAGTGTGACTGGCTTTTGCTCGAGTCATCAAAACTGATGGCATCTTGGTAGACGACAACAAGGGAATCCCTCTGACTTTGGCTAGCGGCACCGGGCACAGAACTGTTTTGGGAGCGTCTTTCCCGTTCCTCAAAGAAAGCGCTGAAAGGGTTGATGGGGGAGGGCTGCACATCCTGCAGAGTCTCATTGAGGAAAGGGTTGGTGGCGCTCCATGGTGGAGCCTCGCTTTTGGATGGCTGGCGGCTTAAGGAGGAAACGTCCAGCTTCTGAACTTTGGAGAAGTTCATCAAAGTGCTCCTGGGACGGTCCCTCTTCTTAAATGACCCAGTTGAATTACATGTTACATCTGGGATCTCAGATGCAATAGGTGGTGTATTCGGCTTCAGAGGAGAGGTGACCAGCGGCCCAGGGCACAGGACTTCATTGTCATCAAAGGTGACCCAACTGGGGAAACGAGTAGAGGTCACTGGATGGGCAGGGTGCCCATTCGTGGCTGGACTGCCAGCTTGCCAGCCAACGGCCTCCATTTCTACTTCTTCGTCTTCCTGGAGCGAGGAAGAATTGTCTACAAAGAAGAGGAGAACATATAGCAGCTGCCATTAGGGCCTTCTTTAGATGTAGGACACTGAAGTATGGGGATGGGAAGTGGCTAGAATTTTATCTAGTACATGGCCCATTCCAAAGTAGCCCATAACCTTCCTCAAATGCTTGCCATTTTGTTGTCATTTTGTAATAGGTAAACCAGAGGACCATCACAGAAGATTCAGTAAGAGCACATTGGCTCAGCCAATACAGAAGCATTCAGTGGTGAAACCAAGATCCTTTGTAATTTAAATCAAAATACCTTCCCTTCATTTTATAGAAGTTTCTGGAATAGATGTTTTCTTACTTAGTTCTATGGTATATATTCTTAATTTTTAAACATCTAAAACCACACCCTATATAAAATGTGATTGTTTTAGAAAACGAGTTATCCTCTGTTAAATGATAATATGATTGTAAATAATGTACTTTTGTTGGGTGACAAATTTACACAAGAAAATAAGAAAAACATAAACATTTCAGTAGAAAACTTACAAAAAAGAAACTAAAAATGTTCAATAAATATATGAAAATATCCAACCTCACCAGTAATAAAGAAAATGCAAATTAAGCAAGATCAAAAGTTTTTCTGTAGTCAGTGAAGGTAGCAAAAACTCAGTGAGCTGCAGATATCTTGAGAAAAACACTCAATTGAGATTATATGTTGCTATAAAGCTTCTAAACTATGCCTTGGCAATTTAAAGTTTGTACCAGTGGTCACAACAATGATTTAAGAACTCTTCCCTAAGAAAATAAATTCATTCTGTGGATTAGGTCTGAAGAACAAAGAATCATTTTAGCACTATTTACTGCTGGGGAAAGATGTAATACATTTTAAACATCCAACAGGTGGGTGGGTGAATGTTCAGAAACTGAGTACTATCCAGACATCAAAATGTTTAGAAGTGGAAAGGTGTGTGACGCAGTAGGTTAAGCCACTGCCTGCGACTCTGGCATCCCATAGGAGTGCCTTTTCAGGTCTCAGCTGTTCCGCTTCCAATCTAGCGCTCTGTGAATGAACCAGGGCATGCAGCAGAGGGCGGCCCAAGTGTTCGGTCTCCTGCAGGACCGGAATGAGACCCGGAAGGAGTTTCCGACTCCTGGCTTTGGCCTGGCCCCATCCTGGCTGTTATAGCCATTTGTGAAGCAAATTAACAGAAGAAAGCTTTCTTTGTTTCTCTCTTCCTCTTCCTCTGTAACTCTGCCTTTCAAATATATAAAATGCCTTAAAAATAAATAAATAGTTCCCAGTATGTATTAACAGGAGAAAAAATGCACATAATATAATTTTGTCTTTTTTCCTCTGAACTGCTTTTCAGTCTTGGGGTATGTCTATTCCATAATTAAAAGCTTATTACGCATAAGACTTCACCATAACAGCATTCAGAGGAGATGTGAGACCCAAATGCTGAAGAGGAGATATGCCAAACCTTTCCACTAGTTCAATTGCCCTTATGATAAGGGTTTGCTGGAATTATGGCAACTGAAGGGATGTGAGGCCTTCAGCAGAAAGGTATACCAGTTACACATGCAACTTCGCATGGGTGCAAAGGCTGGCTTGTCACCCATCTTCTAAGCAGTCCATCCAGAGAGCAACTCCTTCAACTAAAAATGTCACTTTCAAAACATAACCACGAGTATGCATACACATGGATTCATATGCACCTCAGGAATATAACGGGCAAAACGCATTTTCTACATGTACAGCACTACAAAGGGATTTCAAAGCATTTAAAATTAAAAAATGAGGATTTCCTTCAAAGTAATCATGAGTTCATTTTTTCTAGGCACATAAGTGATTTAGTTTCTGAACAACGAACTGAAAACGACCAACAGCACATTTAACTCACTCGGCGATACTCTGTGATGAGGGCTGAGGGAGGACTGCGGGGAGCACCTCCTGGGGACATCAACACGCTCCTCCCTGGACAGCTGGGGAAGGGCTGCGCTTCCAAAGTCATGCATTTCTAATGAGGCAGCCCTATGGAGCTTGCATGAAAAAGTACTGCCACCTAAACAGTCCGTTATAGGCCCTCCTGGAGTTCATCACTATTCCTCCAAGATCATTTCTCAATTTATTTATTTTTATTTTATTCAAAAGGTAGAAAGAGACAGGTAGGCAGACAGGCAGGGATAGATAAATGGTGGATTCTCCTACTGTTAGACCACAACTTATTTTAAGTTCCTAATTTATATGATAACAGTAATCAAAGCTACAAAAATGGAAGAGAACATCAGAGCTTTAAAGGTACTGCAAATGTAGCAGACACTCTGTCATCATTTTTCAATAATTGATTTGCTATTGCAACAGCAAATGCAGAAAACGTACTGAAAGTTGTTCACTGGAATTTATTAGAAGTATCAAGAACAAGTGTTTTCAGATTGCTGCCAAGTTTCTCAAAACAGCCTTCACTGATATATAACAGCATACATTTAAAGTAGTATAATCAACTTCAGATCCACAACAGACACGTAAATATTTATGGACTAATCTGTAAAGTACAAGGGGGAGCACTGAATTCTAGGCTTGACAAGATTTTAAGTAGTAAGATTTGACCTTTTCATTATGTGGAGAAGCTGAGACTCGGCGATTTTAATTGAACTTCCCAAAAAGATCCAAAGTCAAAGTTTCCTTTTTTCACTTTCATCAATCCTAATATCTCTTAATGATTATTCATTATGCTCAAATCTAATTTTTGCCTTTGAGATTATCAGTAGTTATTCTGACACACAACTTCTTAACAGCATTGCTCAATGGGGAAAAGAAGTTAATTAAATAAGGATCAACATCCAATTACACAGAGATGTCTTTAGGCCCAAAGTCAAGTGATGTAATCGTCTAACGTGCAAATGTGTACAGCTCAGAGTAGGGCATGAACCATCTGAACCTTATCAAGGGAGCCTCTAACTTGAACAAAAGATGTGGAGACCTGCCCTGCTTAGTCATCACAATACACAGCTACCTGAAATAGGGGAGGGGCAAGGGGAGGAAGTAGGGGAGGAGGAGGGGCATGAGAAGAACAGGAGCCAAGGCTAAGTCTACTGCCCTGCTTTCAACACTCCCACGGGATGCTTTGGTGCTGGTGAAACCACCTGCTCAGGGAAGCTCCAGAGTCATCACACCCATTTTTTTTTTTTTAAGATTTATTTTGTTTGTTATTGCAAAGTCAGAAATACAGAGAGGAGGAAAGACAGAAAGGAAGATCTTCTGTCCAATGATTCACTCCCCAAGTGACTGCAATGGCTGGTGCTACGCCGATCCGAAGCCAGGAGCCAGGAACTTCTTCCAGGTTTCCTACATGGGTGCAGGAACCCAAGGCTTTGGGCCATCCTTGACTGCTTTCCCAGGCCACAAGCAGGGAGCTGGATGGAAAGCGTGGTGGCCCGGATTAGAACTGACGCCCACTGACGCCCGTATGGGATCCTGCCACATTCAAGGTGAGGACTCTAGCTGCTAGGGCACTGTGCCGGGCCCATGATGCCCATCTTAAGCACTGCCTACCACCATTTATAGAAATCTGTCAAGGATCCTCAACACTGCGATCCGATTTTGATTTAGTAAGGGAATCTATAAAGCAGTACAAAGCATTTTCCTCGGAGGACTGATGTGTCTGGCCCTGCTGGTTCTCCCCTGCTTCTCAAGATGGTCTGACCCAAAGTATTTCAGGCTGAGTGTGTGTTTCTGTTCAAGGAAACAAGTGCAATATATTCAATTGTTGAATGGCTGAGAAAATCTTTTTTTTTTACCCCTCATATTTGGTCTTTTAAAACAATTAATTCATTATTTGAAAGGCACAGTGACACAGATGGAGAGACAAAGGAAGATCTTCCATCTGCTGGTTTATTCCCCAAACAGCTGCAAACTGTCAGGTCCAAGCCAGGCCAAAGCCAGAATCCAAAAACTCCAACCTTGTAAACACCGGGGTCCCACATGGGTGCTGGTTCATGTCCTGGCTGTTCCACTTGCCACCCAGCTCCCTGCTTGTGGCCTGGGAAAGCAACGGAGGATGGTCCAAAGCCTTGGGACCCTGCACTCATGTTGGAGACCCAGAAGAAGCTCCTGGCTTCTGGCTCCAAGCTTCGGATCGGCTCAGCTCCAGCTGTTGCAGTCACTTGGGGAGTGAACCAACAGATGGAAGATCTTCCTCTCTGTCTCTCCTCCTCTCTGTATATCTGACATTGTAATAAAAAATAAATAAATCTTTAAAAAAAAAAGAGCTAGATAAGAAGATGCTTGCAGTGATTATAGGGAAAAAGTGCTCACAACATTTCACACTTGCCTGACTACTGAACAAAAACATTTTAATTAAAATGGAAAGATTTATTTGAAGTGCTGGGAGAAGAGAGAATGAGCTCCACTCCACTCGTGTGCTCCCCAGCGCTGAGCTAGGCCAGAGCCAGCAGCTGGAATCCAGTCCAGGCCTCGCACGTGGAGACAGGGATTCGAGTCCTTGAGCCGTCAGCTGGGCCTTGCCGTGTGCATCAGGAGGATGCTCAGAGCAGGGGAGGCCAGGCCTGGCCCTGCGGCACTTTGCAATTGGAATGCAAGTGCCTGAAGCGGCATCTTAAGTGTCAGGTCAAACATTTCCCAACTATTTCAGCTTTGTTATCCCTCCCTACTCTCTTTCCACAAGAACACAGATATACACTCTTATTAAGCAATACAAGACACACACTTTGAATCCCACAAATGTGAAGTGAATAAGTTCTTATTAAGCCCATTATCAGAACTGCCATATTTGGTCTGGGTGAACTTGAGTGAGAAGCAGACAGTGTCGACTGCATTGTGGAGGGCTCCACCTCACAGGCTGTGGCTCTATGCTGGTTCAGATCCTGGCTGCTTCATCTGCTCGCTCTATGACTAAATACACACACACATACACACATTTAAAATTTACCTGTGTGACCCATTCTATCCTTACATTTGTCTGCAACAAAAAATATAAATATTCTTGAAAAAATATAACTGTGGACCTAGTGGCT